CCCAAAGGAAGATTAATCACTAGGCTGAGTAGTTGAGGGGAATATTCCATTGTAATAAAGAGCAGCTTTAACGTGGGACAATAGTGAGGACCCTTCCTACCCTTATGAGACACCCTGTTCTTGCTTCCTGTTCCTGGTAACCCCAATTCTAACCTGTGGACAAAGGCCAGGGGAGACACAGCTTCGTGAGTGCTGACTGTGGGACCTAGAGAGAAGGAGGGCTTCCTGGCCTTTAACAGCATCCCTTAGGACCTGGGGGTGGTGGAGGGAATCTGTTGAAATCTGCCATTGTTGATCCTAATTATAAGAACATCTGTCCTCCTCTTCACAGATGTTCTGTTGCTCTGGGAACAGGTTTGTTTGTGTGTTTGTTTGTTTGGGCGCTAAGCAGGCAAATGTAGGCAAGACTGCTTAGAATCCAGAAACTGAAACTGGCCCATGTCCTGGGACAGTTTCTTGTTTGAGAGAGAACAGTTTTGCATCTTAGTTGTTGAAAAGGGAAGAAATTAAGCTCAAACTGGCTAGAAAATGTCTGGCATAAGCTATGCCAGAAGTCGTAAGGGAGTAGGTAAAACCGGTACCCAGGAACTCTGGTCTCTTTCACATAGTAATGTACGTGTTTGAACTAGGTAGCCTCTGGAAGTAAAGTGCTAGAGCCAGCAGCTTTAGAAAGCCAGTTGTTAAATTTTGAGTGTGAGCATTTACACCTGGGAAATTAAACACTACAAAAAACACTAAAATTTATTTTAAAAATTAAAAACCAGGCGGAGGGCCTGATTCAGCCCATTGGCCATATTTGCCGACCCTTGGGTTATAGGATGAAATACAAGCACTTTGGTTTGACCTTCAAGGCTGTTCTCAGTTTGGCTCCCACTTACCTTTCCAGTCTTATTTCATACTTCTCTCCTTCATGAATTCTCCATTCCAGCCAAAAGAGACATAAGCTATCTCCTCAAATCAGCACACAACCTCTCGATTTGTGGCAAAGTATCCCCTCTGTGCCTGAAATACCCTGCTTTCTCGGCTCTAATTTTGAGAATTCTTGTCTCCTTCCTTAGCTCAATGGACCACCTTCTTTGTGAAGCCTCCTCTGATATCTGAAGAATCTTGTGCTCTCTCTCCCTCCTCAGGTTTCCTTGTAACATCTTCATCTGTGTACCTGAGGCCTCAGTTTTCTCATTTGTAAAAAGAGGGAGCTGGACAAGATTTCTTGACAATAATAGCAAGGATAGGGCACTTTAATATCTCACGTGCAAAGCTCTTTGCTTTTGTGATTTGGTATCATCCTCGTGAAAACCCTGGGAGGTAAGATCTATTCTCATCCCCATTTTACAGTTGAGGAAGTTGAGGCAAACAGGAGTTACATGTCTCCCTCGGTTTCCTCATCTGTAAAGTGGAAGTACCTACCTCTCAGGGTTGTGAGGATCAAATGAGATACTTACCCTAAAACCATAAGGCACTATATAAATGCTAGCTATTATTATATGGGCTTCATCCTAATAAGCCCAAAGTACTATTTCTATGGGGTCTAATGTCCCAAGTATTTTTTGCCACCCTTTTAACCCCAGTCTACCCACTTGGCCAGCACTGTGACTTGGTGAATGGCGTTTGTTTTAATTGCCGTGAAGGGATCTGCCCACCTTCCCCCAATGTTTGCTCTCCAAAAGCCAGCAGGGGGACCTCTACCCATAGGAGAAGACCAGTTGGCTCCATGGGGTGGGGAGAGAGGCCATCGACACTTGGCTCACCTAGCATAATGAATGCAGAGCCCCAGCAATGCCTTTGATGGCCACACAGAAGTAGCCAGGTGAAGCTGCAGCCCAGAAACCCTTTTACTGGAGATAAGTGGCAGGGCCATTGGAGGGGGGCTGTGTTTTATCCTTCAGAAAAGAGAAAGAGACTGCTGAATTGCTGCTCTCAAGAGTGCCCCGATTTCAGCTCATTCATTGGATACCATTGGCTGTGCCCTCCGTGCCCCTCCTAACAGCTGCATCTGGGCAAACGTTGTTAATTTCCTGAGGGGGGCCTGCTCATTAGGTTTTAGCTGCATCTATTGAGCTTTCTTTTCTATCTCTCCTTTTCTTAGATAAAGAATTAAAAAGAACAACCAAACACTTGTTTTCCAGAGGAGAAAGCCCATGGAATTTTTCAAACCCCTTGGAAGAGCGAGGGAGGTCAGAGAGCCCTGGTGCACTTAGCAGTTCTGTGACCCCAAACCAATTATCCAAAGCCAAATGGATGATGTGATTTCTTTATTTCCTTTTTGATTTACAAATGCTTCTGCCCAGAACCATTTCTGTATTGAAATGCTCACCCCAGCCAGCCCTACATTTAATTTTGTTTCATTACCAAAATGAACCCCCCCACCACCCCTCCAAGTTTCATGCTTATTAGAAGCATGTGGCTTACTGGATAGAGTGCTGGACCTTGAAGACAAGAAGTCCTAGGTTCAAATCCTGTCTCTGAGAGTTCCCACCCCCAAACTCTTTGCTTAGCAGAGGCGCATGGCTTAGTGTATAGAGTGCTGGACTGTGAAATCAAGAAAATCTGAGTTCAAATCCTGCCTCCTATGCTTCCTAGTCCTTTGGCCATATGCAAATCCCTTCACCTTTGTAAGCCTCAGTGTCCTCATCTAAGAAATGGGGTTGATACCTGCCACACAAAAAAATGAGCTAATGAATGGGACTTTGACAGCTTTAAAGCATTATACATACATATATTACATAACAAATAACGACAACAAGCTAAGGATTTGGGATTTCAGCAGTACGGGTTATTCCCTCCAGCCTCAGGTTACGATGCTGATGTGACTTAGTTCATCAGAGGATCATAGCTTTAAAGATGGAAAGGGTCTTCAGAGTCCTTGAGACCAACCTCTTCCTTTTGCAGCTGGCCTGAGAGGTTCAGCATCTTTCCTAAGGGATGATTTTTCAGAATTGCTATGGATGAAGAAGTCATTGTCCTGTGGCCAACCTCTCCCAACATGGCAAGGCTAGTCCTCAAAGGAGAGACATCTAACCTGTTGCCTCTACAACACACAGTCAGTCTTCCTCTTATCAGACTCAAGACAAGTGGCCTTCCTTCTCTGTGCCTCAGGCTCCTCATCCGTAAAACAAGTGGGTTGGAACCAATGACATCCAACGTTTGCTCCTAACTGTCTATCTATGACCCCATGACCTGGATTGGGATGACCAGAACTTGTTCTCCATTTTGTGAGGTAGTGTCAGAGAGGAAGATGCCAAGGGAAGAGTCTTACTGATGGGGATTAGAAAAAGAAATGAATAAAAAGAAAAAACAGCCAAAAAATGAAAATCCCAGCTATGGTTGCTATTTCAGTTGTCATTGTTTCTTGGATATTAGTAGGGGCAGCGAGGTGGCAGAGTGGATCGAGCACTGGTCCTAGAGTCAGTAAGACCTGAGTTCAAATTTGGCCTGAGGCACTTACTAGTTGTATGATCCTGGGCAAGTCACTTAACCATTGCCTGCCTCCGTTTTTTCTACCGTCAAATGGAGATAATAGCATCTACCTCCCAGGGCTGTTGTGAGTATCAAACGAGACAATAATTTCAGAGAGCTGAGCACAGTGCCTGATACATGGTATGATTGTTGCTGTTCAGTTGTTTCAGTTATGTCTGACTCTTCGTGACCCCATTTGGTGTTTTCTTGGCAAAGATATTGGAGTGGTTTACCATTTCCTTCCAAAGCTCATTTTACAGATGAGGAAACTAAGGCAACAGGGTTAAGTGACTTGTCCAGGGTCACAAAACTAGTAAGTATATGAGGCTGGATATGAACTTGGGTCTTCCTCTCTCCAAGCCCAGCACTCTGCACACAACCACCTAGCTGCTTCATGGCACACAGTAAACACAATGTAAATGTTGGCCTTTGTTATAATTATTACTTCATAGAATTGTTGTGAGGGTCAAATGAGATAATATTTATAAAGCACTTAGCACAGTGCCTGACACATAGTAGGTACTGCATAAATGCTAGGTATTATTATTAGCCCCAGCTCTTATGAAATGAAACCTTATTGCATCTTGTTGGTACCTTTTTGGCAAACAAGTATCACTGAGGTTCAGCTAATTCCATGTGAGACAATAATACATGCACTGGAACTTGCACTGAATTGGGTTTAGCTCTTATTTCTGCTATAAGACTATATTTTAGGCACATCATCTCACCTTTCTGGGTCTCTGTTTCCTCATTTGTAAAATGACGGGGTTAGACCAAATGACCTTGAAGGTCCCTTCTAGGTACAAATATTGGCTTCTGGAGCTGAATACAGTCTCACAGCATTCTAGAGACATACATTTCATACTTGGATAATCTCAACACATATTCCATTGCATAGAACTTTTGCAAATCACTCCCACATATTTTCCATTCTAAAATGGAATGAAAACCTGTGGATGAAGCTTTTGTAGTTTATGACGATATGCAAGAGTCCCACTATTTATCACCTTATGAACTGCGATCTGAACCCACAGACTAGGTGAGGAATTCCTATAGATACATAAGAGGGCACTGAAATAATTTTCTCTTCCCCTTCTCCCTATTAGTGACTGAAGAGATAAACAACATTCTCAGTTAGAGGAATGTCTGATGGAGAAGTGGGATCACCAGTGGGGAAATGCCATCAGCACCTGCGGTGATGATTCCAGTCATTCATTAGCCCTGATTTCCTGGGTGGGGACTATGAACTGAGCAAGAGAAGTGAGGAAACCCACCAAATGGAATCAATCCCTTCCTGACACAAGGATTGTATGCCATTTGGTTTCTTTTTAATAAACTAATTAGAAAAGAAAAACAAGATTAATTTTTAAAACCAGTTGTCTTCAAACAAATATGACCTTGGGGGGTATAGGGGAGTGTCGTCAATGAACTGGAACATATGGTCAGTTATTCACTGGTATGCCCTTTGTGGAATGCTGCGATTATAGCTATATAATATATATCATATGTGATATGATATGATGTTATGTTATGGTGGTGTGATCTGAAACCTGTAATATGGAGATTTCCCACTAATTTTTTGACTCATTTTTCACTAATAAATCAAAACCATTTGTAAATTGAGACAACATCTTAGTTTGTTTATATTATAAGATTCTCAGATGAAAAAGAAGTCTACAAAACACAGTGGCAGTATTGTAAGTTCAGAATTTAACTTAATGATCGTTTGACATATAGAGGTATCTACAGCTTGTGATAGGATTCAGTACTTTGTTTGAAATGGTCCCTAACGAGTCATTTCCATGAAGACATTGTGGAAAATGTGCTGGCTTTGTAGCCAGCAGACCTGGGTTCAAATCCTGCCTCTGATGCTGAGGCAAGTGGTTTAGCCTCAGTTTCCTGATTTGTAAAAACAAAGGGACTAGTTTAGATGGTCTCTGAGGTTTCTTCCAGATCTAAACTTTATTAGGATCTTCGGTCAGTTCATTTCATCTGAAAAATTAGGAGCTTGGACTAACTGATTTCTAAAGTCCATTTCAGGGCTAGCATGTGGTAGAACACAGAGTAATAGACTTGATCTGCTTGGTCTCAGGGGGCTGAATGAGAAGTAGTGGGCGGAAATTGCAACTTAGATTTAGCCTTGTGGTCGGGGAAAAAATAAGCAAAAACACTTCCCAACAGAGCAATCCAAAAGTGTAATGGGCCACTTCAGAATCCTGGGGGCTTCTCCTCTTGGGAAGTCTTCAAGTAGAAAGTGACGGCCATTTTTCCTGGAAGGGGCAAAGGGGCTTTCTTGTTCTGGCATGGTTTGGAGGAAACAGCCTCTCTTCCACCTCTGAGACTCTCTGATTCTAGACATAAGTCTAGATAAATTAGGAGTCCCAGACACTGTCCATCAGTTTAAAAAGAGAGTTTTCATCAGCCTTTGATTTATGCAAAGAGCATCCTTTTTTGTGTCTTGGCCTCATGGAGGGAAGGAGAACCTTGGCTTCTTCCTTCTGGTCTTTTTCAGGGTATGAAGGCTCCAAACCAAAAAGCAGGGTAACTGAATTAGCAGCAATCCAGACAAATTTTGTCAAATCAGTTGATATATTTTTCCCCCAACACAGAACATGCTTCTTTACTGTACGGCTGTCTTTAAAAAAAAAAAAGGTTCTCACTCTCTGCTCTGATTGCTGGTACATGCATCATCCGTAGATTGCCCTGATCAAAAAACAAGTTTCTGTTCGGCATGTGTCTTCTCAAAGCAGACATCTTCTGACCCCCTCATGGCAAAAGAGACTTTTCATCAGCCTTTGATTTATGCAAAGAGCATCCTTTCACCGATTCCAGTTCATGATTCCCTTTGAATACCTGGGGAAAAATGGCTTCCTGCTGTTTAAAGCATCCCTTCTCCCCATGCCAGGTTCTTCCTTCTGCCACCTTTCTTTTCTTCCCTTGCTGCTGCAGAAAATAGCCATTTACCCCAAAAGTCCCCAGTCAATATATATTTTCTTATTTGAATCTATTTAGATCTAATTTTGGGGCAGAATTGCCAGGAGCCGAGGATGCCTCCTTCCCTATGTGGACGATGATAAAAAAAAAATTCATCTTTTAGTACATTAGATCTGCTGCTGCACTAGTAGTGTCAAAGTCTTTAGATTTTGCAAAAGGGAACTGAAACCCAGCAAGCCGGATTAAAAGCCCATTCAGAATGTGCACAGAGAAGCACATGAAAATGATCCAGAAGGAGGTGGTGTATTTTTCACTATGAGTTTTGTATATGAAAGTCCCTTCTTTATAATTTGCAATTTTCTCTGAGAGATGGTGCATCTTCACTTCAGAGGCAAACAGTATCATAACAAGACAACCACAGGAACCTAAAACAAAGAGAAAAAAAACAAGAGGAGGAGATGAGCAAATACTTCTCAATCCTAGTGTCTGGCTGGGGCCAAGAGAAATGGGGAGGGAGAGTAAAATTTAAGAAAATATTTCTTGTATTTGTAATGATGCTCAAAAAGTCATGAAACCTTGCAAACTCTTTAATCCAGCAATACCACTACTAAATCTTTACCCTAAAAAGAGAAAAGGAAAGGAAAGGGGCCCATATGCACAAGAATATTTATAATAGCTCTTTTCAAAGCAGCAAAAAACCTGTCCACTAAAGAGTGCCCACTTCTTGGGAAATGGCTAAACAAATTACAGCACATGAGTGGAATGGAATGTTATTTTGCCATGAGAAATGACAAAACGAACCATTTCAGAGAAAATTAGGAAGACATCTATGGAACTGATGCAGAGTTAAGTGAGCAGAATTAGGAGAACAATTTGTACAAAGAAAACATTACACAGAAAAAGACTTAGAAAGACCATAGAACTCTGACCAGTGTAGTGACAAACAATTCCAGAGGACCAGAAATGAAGTCTGTTACCCATCTCCTAAGAGAAATGTGATGGATTCACAGAGATATAGATTTGTGGACATGCCTAATGAAGGCATTAGTTTCTCTTTACTGTGCCTATTTGCTATGAGAGTTCTCTCTCTCTCTCTCTCTCTCTCTCTCTCTCTCTCTCTCTCTCTCTCTCTCTCTCTCTCTTCTTTCTCTCTCTCTCCTTTTTCCTTCTCCCTTTCATTGTTTCTTTTCCTTTCCTTCTTTTCTTCCTTCCTTCTTTCCTACTTAGCTATCCTTTCTTATGAGCAGTTTTAGGTAGGGAGAATTGGGTACATGAAGTCTGAAGATACAAGATAGCAGGAGGGCCCAGAGAAGGAAAACTGCCAAAAACAAATCTGTTACTTTGCTATTAATTCTATTTAATCAATCGCAATTTTAAAAAATATAATAACCAGATAATAAAATTTCTTTGAATCATAGACTCACAAAAACTTGGGGGTTGGAGCCCTTAGTGGCTATTTAATCCAACCTATACCAAAAAGGAGTTCCCACATCCTTTGCATTTGACTTCTATTTGAAGACAGCCAAGGTGGTGGCTCTAGGCAACCCATTTCCTCCTTTGAAAATTTACTTTCCACTTCTTCAGAGCATAATTATATAATTCCTTGTAAAAATGGTTTAAACATTTTGTATTTCATTCTGAAAACCAGAGTTCTCCCTGAATTAAAATTACAACTAACAATAACAATGGAATGCTTTCTCTTCTTTCCTTTGAAAGTTGCCGAAAAATATCACTGCCTTCTTTCTACAAATGCTATCTCTGTGCCATGCAGTGAGGGCACATCTTTATAAGGATGTGAAATCCTGGCACTTACAAAGAAAATTCAAGCTTGGTTTCCTTTTCAAGTTGTTAACTATTTCAAAAATGCAACTTTATTAAGGGAAATGTCTCTACATTGAGACTATGCTTTGAACTAAAACAAGATTGGTTTTGAAGTCTTGAGAATCAAAGCTTTCCCAAATTCATTTGGCCGCATCCTTCTCAGATATGATGGGAGGAGGGAGCCACTGAGTACAAGAGACAATGCTCTCCCTCTTTCGGTTTCAGTTTTAGCAATCAGCTGGTGAGCAACCAGAGGAATCCACCAGGATGATAAAAGGCCTCAGATCCATGCTATGGGAGGGTCTGTTGAAGGGACTGGGAATGTTGAGCCTGGGGAAGCCTGGGGCGCATGTGTGTAGCGATGGGTAGTAGGAAGAGCTGTCCTCAGGCATTTGAAGGCCTGTCATATGGAAGAGGAATTAAGCTAATTGTGATTGGCCCTAGAGAGTAGAATAGGAGCAATGAGTGTGGGGAGGCTAATTTAGACTCAGTGTCAGGAGAAATTTCCTGTCCATGAAAGCCATGGCAAAGTGTGATGGGCCGCTATGGGAAATGGAGAATTCCCACTCCCTTGGGTCTTTGAGCAAAGGCTACATGAACGTTTGTCAGATATTTTGTCAAACAAAGGAATTCTTTTTCATGTATGGATTGGATTGGAGGGCCACAGAAGTTTCTTCCAACTCTAAAACTGGTGATTCTCTGAACTGACCATTGGCTCATTGAAGGCCTTGAAGGAAAATGTATTAAAAGTAGAATGATTTGGATTCCAAGGGACTGGGGAGAAAATAGGGGTCCTATGCCCTATTTGTCCCAAAATCAACAAACATTTTTCAGTCAACCAAATTACAAAGTAGTCATTAAATACCAAGTATGTGCCAAGCACTGTCCTGGGTACTGAAGTACAAGTGCAAAGAATGAAGTAATCAGTATTTGCAATGAGCTTAGATTCTAATGAAGACAAGTGTGTGTGTGTGTGTGTGTGTATACACATATGTATACATGTATGTAAATGTATGTACATAACCTATATAATATAAAGTTAAATACATTCAGTAAGGTCTTACTTGGTATAGAGCAATGGACTCTAGTCTATTACTGGGGGGAAAAGACTATGTTTAGATAGATTAGACCATTGTTCCAGAAGTCAGGCAAATAAAGGAAAAATACCTATGGCTGAGGTCTTGCTTTTTTCCTTTCTCTGCCAATGATGCTTAGGGGGGCTTAGATCAAGGTAAAGGTGTCAAAGGTGGCATGCAAACTCGTTTATAGTGGTTCTTATACTTGGGCAGAGAAGAATCCATGGACGGATGTACCAGTGAAGGATAAGAAGACCTCCATCTTCCCTAAGCCCTGTGGCACCGCTTCAGAAAGGTTGTCGGTTCCTGCTTTCCATAAAATTCAGGGAAAACAGAGGCACATGCTCTCGACTGCCTAGACTGAAAGCCCACTCCCTAGCAAAGGAGATCTTTTGCTTCATTTGTCTTGGACCTGACATGCTTTGAAGCCTGAATTATAGGGTTATACAGGCAGAGCTGCAAGGCAGCTTGGGGATCACCTGGTTGAACTCCCTCATTTTACACAGGAGGAAACTGAGGCCCAGAGACGTGAAGGAACTTTCCCAATCTCACACAGACGAGGTGGCAAAGCTGGGATTTGAAGCCAGCGTCTGACTACAAAACCAGGGTTTTTCCATCATAAGAAGCTGCCAGGGATTGCTGAATTATGGGGTTGCCACACGGTGACATACAATGGCTTTGGATCCATGTTTATTAGTTTTTAGGAACCCAAGCAGGGCCCTAGGTCACATCTGGATGTGGAATCATCCCAGATTGTTGTCATTATTGTTGAGTCTCTCTGGTGTGACTCTGGAATGTTGCCATGTTTCCTTCGGGTCACATCATCATCATCATTATTATCATCACCAGCATTTATATGGCACTTGAAGGTTGGTAAAGCACACTTGTAAGTACAACCTTGTTTGCTCCTCCCAACAGCCCTGGGAGGTAGGTGCTATTATTATTCCCCATTTTACTGAGGAGGCCATGAAGTGACTCCTCAAAGTCACATAGCTCTTTGGTGTTTAAGGCTGGATTTCAATTCCAATCTTCTTGATTCAAGATCGAGCCCTCTATACATGGCATTACCCAGCTATAACAACATCCATAGCCATTTTTGTATTTCCTTTTATTCTATTTTATTGATGCTTTTTGTTTTTATATATTATATATTGATTTTTAAGTATATACTTCCACACTCCCCTGCCTGAGGAGCCCTTCCCTTGTAACAAAAATTTGAAAAGAAAGAGAAAGGCAAGCAGTTCAGTAAAAATAATCAACAAACACATTGACCACAGCTCACAGAATATGGAACATTCCATGCCCATTAGTTTGCCACCTTTGCAGTGAAGGGAGGCATTCAGCAGGTGCTCACTGAGCCCTCTTGCCTGTCAGCAGGAACAACACATACATTCTGCTCATCTGGCAATTGCTCAAACATTTACAATTGGAAACCCTGGCTCTGGTGTCTGAAAAAAAAAAAACCACACAGCCTTGAGTTGGTGGCAACCGATTTAGTTGCCACCTACAGCATTCCAGCTTTTCTCAACTGTCTGGGGAAATAGTTAAGAATCCTGTGGGTGGTCCTACCCTCAGATCCCTGGATGTGGAGGAAATTGGGAGTCAGGTGGGTCTCCATCGCTATGGGCCTGGAAAAGAGAGGCAATCTCTTTTAAACACTGTGTACGTGACCAAAAATACTGCCTGGTTTATTTCCGTAGTGCCAAGCCAAGCACATTTTGATCATCATTTGGTCGGGGTCAGAGGCAAGATTCAACACCAAGCCTTCTTGACTCCAATTCAGCCTCTTGCCTCTTGCCATTAAGCTCTCCTCCCTGCCATGGTGAATGCCTTGGCTGGAGAAAGAAATATCTGCCTGTGGTGAGCTCTGATTTTCTGTAAAATTATGCAAAAATCTCTTGAAAAATCAGTCACTGAAGATTATGTAGTCAACAGAGAATTCCAAAAATGGAAGATGTTATCTTCTCCTGGGGCTTCATTTCAAATGATTGATGGCTGCCACATCTATAACATGCAGATAATGAGCAATGGAAAAAAAAGAGAAAGGGGGTTCATTTCTTCAAACTCTGCTAAAATAGGTAGATGATGGCAGGTGCCTTTGCTGTGGGTTCCCAGGAAGGCTGTGGTCAGGGAGCAAGGACAGCGGGTTTGGGTCTTACTTTTATTTAAGGAAACGAAGAGCTCAGGCAGGTATATTTAAATCACAGCAGCAGCTACCACTTGGCGTCAGGAAAAGGGAACAGCTCCATGTAGAAGAGGGTTAGATTAAAAAGCAATTTTTCTAAGTTGATGAGATTGTTAGAAAAAAATATAGTCTAATTTTACCAGAAAATATTCAGTCATACAAACAGTATACAGGGGAGGAAAATTAACACTGCGGCTATGGCATGAGGAAGGGCTAGCTTTCTATAATTATGATAGAAAATAATATGGGGCCATAATGATGTGCACATAATTCAATTCAATTAAAAAAATAATTTATTAAATCCCTATGATGTAGATGGCCATATACCCCACGAAAGAGATAC